CATTTCTAATTCCATTTGTTTTGCTCCTAAATATAAATACACCTGGTTTCTAAACATTGAAGTAGCAATTGCTGAACCTGTATTCTTTCTTTCTCTTGCAGCGAACCTAGTGGGCATCGTGATTCTGTACACAGGAAAGTGCGGTCTCTCCAAATGCATTACTCGCTACCTGGTGGCCATGGCAGCGGCAGATCTGACGTTGGTCATATTTTATATGATATGTTACCCCATTGGCTACATTTACTTTGCCACCAAGGAGCTGAATATCGCCGCGGTTTGCCGCATCAATATAGTCCTCATTTAAGCCTCAACAGATTCCTCTGTGTGGTTTACAGTCGCCTTCACCTTCGATCGCTTCATCGCCATCAGTAGCCAAAAGCTGAAAGCCATGTTTTGTACTGAACAAACCGCAGTCAAGGTGATCGGCACATTCTTTTTCATAAACTGTTTGGGGAGCATTGTAAAATATTTTATATTCGGTCCTCAGTACGTTATAAACAGTGTCCTCTGGGGCTGCGTTCAAACTGAGAGCTTTAACTCGTTGCTAGGATGGAAAATCTATGCCTATCACAATTTGGAATACATTGCTCCCATTCCTATTGATTCTGCTCTTGAATGCTCTGACTTTCAGACACATACTGGTGAATAGCAAATTTCGCTGGCAACCATGACATGAAGCGGAAGGCTCCGGAGATGGAGAGCCGCAAGAAGTCCATTATTTTACTCTTCGCTGTTTCAGGCAGTTTTATCCTCCTCTGGATGACTCATGCGGTCAATGGCATCTATGGCCGAATTACGAAAAACCACTGTTACTCAGGTTTCGATGATCTGTTGTCCATCAGACAAGAAGTGGGGATTATGCTCCAACTTTTCAGCTGCGGCACAAACAAGTGCATTTATGCGGTGAACAGAGGGTTCAGAGAGGAGCTGAGAAATGGTGTCCTTTTCCCATTCGATAAATTACTAAAATTAATAACCATGGTAAAGCGTTGAAATAAATCCATTATTGTTTTCCAATGACTGACATTGATCATTTCGCCAGGAGTGTGATCCTCAAGTTTCTGTGCTACGTTTTTGAGCAATAAGATAACAATAGTAGCAATCCTTGCATTTTGATATCGGGCCTCAACACGTCTTCGCTTGACTAAATAAATGGCAACCTGTACTGAGGACATATTTTGGATGAATTACGGCAGCAGAGTGTGCACAGAAGTGTCCCACAAAAAGATGTAAAGACAGTGACCAACGATTATATATGTTTCCTTATTCAAGCGACTATCTTCCCCCAAAATATGATCTGCCATTCTATCAAGCGATTTCCTGCTTTTTGATAGGTAAAATGCAGTGTGTGGAGTAAGGATATTTGCCCAGAGTTTAAACCCTACTGGGAATCTAACACAGGTAACATCGGTTACGGGGCGAGTGCTTCAACCAGCAGCACCTGCAAGTTTCAGCTCAGTGGTGTGTTTGACGGTTTCCCAGCCCTGTGTAGCCCAATTCGGTCACATAATGTGGGCCAAGTTACGAGACAATTGAAATAAAAAATAACGCTGCTCTCTAAATTGGAATAACTTTCTGTCAATTTTTTTGAGGGACAGTCGGTGGAGTGAATCACGGAGATGGGGTTTGGACACATTCGCAGATCCACTACCATGCATAAGCGTCCCATTACAGACTTGTAATATTGTGTCTTCGAGTCGTCACAAAGCGTTAGCACAATATATTATTTTTATTCGACTGTATATTTTTCGGCGAAACGTGGCAAACAATTACACATAGCTCTGTCCATACAAACAATCATCGATTGGATGGCCAAATTGTACATATGTACATGTATATATTTCTAACAAATTAATGCTATCTGTAGAATTAAACGAATTGGGTCAGCACCAGTGTGCCACAGATCTATTACGTGCTTCACTGAAAAAAATCAAGAAGATGTATTAAATTTCCACAAAGAAGCCATACCAGGGGCACAAAATTAACACCGTGAAGCTAAAATCGTTAATGTAATGACATTGACTTGAGCACAAACCTGACACGTCAATGACAGTTTACAAACGCCTCGCGAAGATGCAAGAGGGCAGTAAGCGTTCGGAGCCATGTCCTGGCAGCAATTTCAACACAATGTCCCAGCCAGACATATATCTAAATATCTCGAAGGTAACAATTAAATCATCAGCATTTTGTGGAAATAGTTTCTCAATTCCATTTCAAATCTGTGTGATTCCCCCTGACAAATTTGCTTTGAACGCTGAACAGCCCTGATTGTGCAACCAAATGTCACATGATTTGCTTTTCTTGCGATACGCAATTTGGTGAAACACTTATTGAAGGCCTCAGTACCTTTTGACCGCAGTGTAGCTCATGCTCTCGTGTAACCATTAGGCGGCGCTACAGGAGGATTTCGGAAACTTGAGCACTGTCAATGCTGTTATTTTCTGATGTGAATTTGGACCCATGAGCGTCTTGAATAGCAGGAATTTTGAAATGCATTGGGATTTTAAGTTTTTCCAAGGGAATCTGAAGAAAAATACTTTGCTTTATCTGATCACTGTCCAGATGGTTTATTGATATGCAAACGGGGTAGTACCGTGTAAAACAATATTCCAGCACTTCTATATTTCAAATTCTTCCACTGCTTGTTAGAACTATGTGTCAGTTAAACAAACCATCCATCTGACCGTCAAAGGTCAACACATCCATCTGTCTGTCCATTCATCTGTCAATACACTCAGCCGTTCTCCCATCGATCCCTAACAACATACAAAAAACTCAACCCATTCATACGTCCATCCATTGTTCAACCCAATCTATCTATCCTTCCGTCCAAAACCGATGATGTGCCATTTTCAATCAATATTTCATTACATAATTATTTATTTGAATGGTTGTTAGTTGATGCTCCAATTGATGGTTCAACTTGTTTAAATGGGATTTGTCTCTTCAAATGTCACTGACGTTTGTCGCAGCCAATGAGTGACAGTTTCGTATGTAATCGCTGTTGCTCTGCTGTTCTCCTACATTTCCACTAATGCGATATTCATCTCCAGATCACCAGAAACAACTCACTGACCACAGAGCGCATGTTTCTGAAGATAGGAAACCATGGCAGATAATGTGTAAAACTCATTTTAAGTATCTATTTGTTTATTAAGAAAAAATTCTATCATAAGGTAATAAATATTAACAATCGATGCATATTATTTAGCGCTTTTCACGTCTTCTGGAAGTCTCAGTGTGCTTCACAAAAAAATCTATCAAGTGCATTCGCTGTATATTTGTTGATAAAACGCGGCAGCCAATTGCACACAGCCTTGTCCCACACACAGTGCTTGATTGAAGTGATCAATTAATTAGACTTTTTTTTCTTCAGGGGCTAATATTAGCTAAGTGGACTAATGAAATTTAACAAAGATTTTGCCCCGCCTGGAATCGAAACCGCTTGCAAGGCGAATGCTCAACAACTAATGAACAGAAATTCTGACAACTGATCAATAATGACTGAGGCATCCGGCAAAGAACCTTTAAATGATGGGGTGGGGGGTGAGGGGGTTCGGCTGGTAGACATCGGGGTTTTTGATACTGAGAAAATATAGCGTTGAATAGTGGGGAGTTTAGGCAAGATTGTTTGAGATATTCCCTTTTTTAATAAAAACAGAAGTATGGGACCTTTAACATCGCAGAAGCAGACAAATCAAATCTCCCACTATTGAGTTTAACTCCTGCACTGGATTGCGATGGCGGCCTGGAGTTTATCAGTTCCACATGCAAACATTGGGCTTAATCACACGGCTTTCTGACTGGGAGGCGAGAGTGCTGCCAACTCAGCCAGGTTAATGCAGAAGGTTAATGATATGCAAGTTCAAAGTCTCAAAGAGGGGATGGAGCCAAATGAGCCAATTAAATTCACATGGTTAGCGGTAACCTCAGCATTCAGACAGAGAGAATAAAAGCAATTTACATCTTTCCAACATTTTATGCAAACATCCTTAGGCACGATATTGATAATATTTTCTGAAATGTTTGGTTTCAAAATAATAATTTCTAAAATACCTGCCCAATGTTCGTTTGGAATGTTTCTATTTTATTCAATCAAAAAGATTTTGATCTACATTCATACTCATTCTTCACGTAGCTACTGCTTTGTAAAAAAATATGCTGCCGTAATAATAACTGCAAATTGTTATTCTTCCCGGTGCTAATTCATCTGCAATTGGTGTCGAACATTTGTATTAATTCTGAAATATAAAATTTGGCTGGAGGGTTTATAATTATTTAAATTAATTATTTGTTTATTGAAATATTAAACAACCAAAACATATTAGACTAGAAATTAACTTTCAGTAAGATTTAAGCTTTCAAACTTGTGTTCCTGTATGGGTCAGTGTTCTGTCATCAGATAATATTAATGCTGTCGTGTACAGTATTCCCAATAGTTACAAATGCTTATCAACAGACTTATATCCTCTGCAGAACAATTTCTGAAGTAAACTTTTGATTTCCACAGGCATAAGGTGTGTTTGGAAAATGCTATTTGTTGTAATATTTTTAACTAGTTTCTAGCAGCTGGTTTAAAGTGATGTTTATATTAAGGTGAAGCACCTCTAATTTAGAGTCAGAAAGTGCATGTTTCCTGCAGAAACGTATCTGAGTACTTTCTTAGATGATCACGTGACCAATGTCAACATTATCTTGTAAATGTTGTTTGGTGGTTTCAGTAAAGTTTTCATTAACATTACTTATTCCCCAAATCATGGCGTTTGTTGAAGTAATTTTTACTCCAAGTTATAAATTGTGGATGCATTTGTTGTACTGTAATCTGACGTTGGTTGTGAAGGCCAGGCAGTGTGTGTGGTGTGGCAGCAGGCGTGTGGGGAGTGTACCTGTCTCATTGGAGCTTAACTCCTTGACTCTAAGGTGGAACACTTGGCATAAAATATGGGAATTGAGTCAAAGCTTTGCATGAGCCTTGATCGGTCTGTTCCTGGTCAAGTGGCTCATTTTAGGCCCTGCTGTTGACAAACCAGCCGGAGTGGCTTCCTCATTTGTAGGACCATTGGGGCAAACTGGTTAAAGGAGGCTCTTGAACTGTTCTCAATTACGTCCGATGAATACTGTAGGCCAAATCAACAATTGTTAGGATAGATCTAACTGATCACGATATAGGAAACTACCGAGATTTTACATGCAATCGCCGGTTCTGGAATTTAACTGGCATTTTAATCCCAGTAGTTACACAATCCCACACCCAAGTGTTACTAACCAGATCTCACTAAATTACGTTGAAAGGTCTGTTCCTCCAGAATAGAAGATCCAAATTCCATTCCAGACAACAAGCGTTCCACAATGTTGTCGGTTTTCTGGAAAACTATTGTAGTTAAGCTATCCCTGAAACAGACTCCTGACTCCTGCTCCTCTATTTCTTGCAAACTCTTCCTCAACCAGCCTTTCTCTCTCTCTCCCTCTCTCTCTCTCTCTCTCTATCTCTCTTTCTCTCTCATCTCTCACTCTCTTTCTCTATTTCTCTCTCTCTCACTCTCTCACACACAGACAAACACACACACACACATACATATATTATGTAATCATTTATTACAATTGCATATATATTTTTACACCAATTTATTAACTGTTCCTCATAGAACATGACCTTCACTGATGAAAAGAGCCTTGTTGATCTCTATACATTTTATAATCCAGGCCTTTAATTTGGACAATTAGTAATGGCCACGTTCAGCGTGAACAATCTCTGTACAGCTTCATGATGGTTTCTGAGGATTTCAGCCTTAACTGGTTCAGGATGTTGCCCAATATCCTGTTTGTTTTCTCAGTGGCCATATTATGGCATGGTCTGTGCTGCTTTGGGATGATAGAGATTAAAATTCTACACTTGTTTCATAATTCCTTTATTCCAAGATTTCCATAACAAGTTGCAAAGGTTCTTGGATGTATAGCTGAATAAAAGTACAGTGAAGTAAAGGAACAATTACATTAAACAGCATGAACCTCCCTAATATGGAAAGGATTAATGGGCTGAATTCCACAATGGTCTAAATTAACTTTATACCTGCAACATTTTGAAATTTGCAGAAATGGACAATTCTTTGAAGTCAGTACAATTCAATACTGACATTAATTTTTTGGCAGTATTTAACAATTTCTTATTGCCGGATACAGACAAATTCAGCATAAAGGTGCAAAGCGTGATTTAAACAAATGAGTATTCCTCCCCGCAAGGCTCCTTCCCAGCGATGCTAATTTTGGAGGCGTACACAGTGTAGTGCAAAGCAGAGGACATTTCCTGCAATTGAAATTCAATACAATTCTGTATGAACACTATTTCAGGGAGCGAGCAGTAAATGCTTGGTACAGGATTTCTCTGGAATGGTTAAAGCATAAAGTGAAGATTCTTTCAAAATTCTAAACAGATAGATTGATTTTAGGGAATAACATCTTGGGATACAGTAGAGATCTGGGGACGTGAAAAGTAAATGTGACTGAATGGGAGAATGGTGGATGGTGAATTTATCGGGAGACGTTGAAATCAGAAAGCGTTGATTCTTTCAAAAGCAAATCAGATAGATTGATTTCAGGAAATAATATTTTCAGATCCAGTTAATATTTGCGGACATGAGAAGTGTATGTGACTGTGAGGATGGTGGATGGTGAACTGGAAAGGCCCAGGTTTACTATTGCAACGCATTACTGATTTTCCAACTGAGCTGCTACATTGGGTCAGATCAGATCCAAAGCGAAAATAACTGTGGACGTTAATAGTACTGAAAGCAGGATAGAACAAATGTTCTGCTTTTACGTTTACAACACAATCTAGGATAATGTTACATCACATTTCTGCACTAATGGTTCACTATTCATAAATAAAATTGGCTGCAGAGGATGGGCGACAAGAGGGCAAAACTCAACTGGTTAACAAGTAAGACATTGAGGGTATAAGTTGAGAAAACTGGAGAATGATTCACATGGAAAATATGCAAATATTAATTTAGAGAAAACAAACGGCAATAGTGGCCACAGAAAGGTCAGAACAAATGTGCTTTTTCGCAGAGAATTTCCATATTACGGTGAAATTGTTAAACATTTATTCTTGATCTGTTTATTGTTTTCTTTCATGAAGCTGTTCATTTCAAATTGTGCAGCTCAGCACAGGCAGGAGATAAAACTCTGTCAATGAATAAAACAGATTGAACACACGCACTGTACTATAAATACTCTAAGACAGAGCTGCATGTTACTATATTAGAACAGTCATGTGTCTGAAACTGTACCTGAGTATGCAGCTAATCACTGGTGAACGGAAGCATCTGCTGGTTACTGGAGCGAAGAACAACTCAAGTGGAAATGTGTTTACCCATTAGTGTTCTCAACAAATCTATATCTGCAGAAGGACATTACGTTTAACAACTTTTGTTTAATGCTGAACTACTGGGAATCGGAAGAATGTGGAAATCAGGGGCTTAGACAAAATTGACACAAAAAGGAACAGGAAAGAAATAGATCAGACAGCTCAATCAGCTTTCACATTTCTATTGATATTTCAGCGAAACTATATAGAGACATTACCAAAAGGGAGCAGATACAATATTCAGCTTCAGATTAAAATCAAAGGGCAGATAACCACAGCCATTGTCTTTCTGTATCATTACATCACAAAAATGGTAAACAGCAAATAAAGAATATCAGAGAGTCGTGACGTTAACGACAATATTTATTGTTTCCAAAACGCAATTGTAAAATAAAGCATCAGTAAGAAAAGCCACTAAAATTCATGTAGTTGCACAATATTTCGGCTGATTTGTACAATGGGTGAAAAAATCAGCACATAATCGGTCACAAGACACTGTTGTTAAACTGAAACGGATGAGACACATGGATGAATATGATCTTAAGAAACTCATTTTATCTGGAAAATAAAAGTAAAGACAGAATGAGTATTTTCACCCTCGGTGGAGAATTGATATCCAAGATTGTGTTTATCTGTATAAGTATACCAATATCCACACAGACACACATACAACCACATACTAACATACAAATACACACACAATAAACACACACGAATCCAACTGATCCTGTGTGAATTTTTGTTTGTCTGCTGGGGGCTGACATGGGCAGAAGGCCTACGCCATGTTGTATAGTGTCCACAATATGCCGAAAGATTCACATAATCTGTGCTTGACCCTTGCCTTTGCCTGTGTCTACACCAGGTGTGTATATTTCAGGTGTGATAGGGTGTGCAAGGATGTTTGGACATGCTCCACACACTCACATAGCCCGGTCACATGGATCTTGGTCTGTACGGACAGGGGAATTTTACCAGCCCGATGGTTGCAAATAGCATCATTATCCGTGTATCACTTACAAGTATTGAACAGCAGCTGTTACCTCACATCAAGGCGTCAATTAATTTACTCTCATCACCTTAATCAGAGTGACGGCGGCGCTGTAGAGCATACTCAGGAAGAAGAGGATGATGAAGGTGGAAGCAGTGGCCCAGAGGTTGTCAATTGGACCTTGTTCAAAACCTTCTCGCATCATCTCGTTTGGGAAATCTGTGAGAAAACAAAGGAATAAACATCTTCAGTGTGGATTGAACCCTGAGACTTTTCTACTTTTCCTTGTTGGATTGTTATTGCCGGTAGCGTTTCCCAGTTGATCACGGGATCCCGCCCTCTGTCAAACCACACAAAACTGCCTGCCAATTCTTCGAATCTTTTAATTTTAACAGCAATATAGAACGAAATATGTTATTCTTTGTTCCTCACAATTATTGAATCCTAAGAAAGTTTGGGGAATACTTTGGGAAAATTAAATTTGCGGAATTACAAAAGGACGGAAATGCTCCCGTTGATACTCCGCTGGTAGTAAAAGGACAGATCTACTCCAATCCTCCAATTCCAACTTTCTGCCTGTCCGACTGCGTGCTTACACCAGCACTAAAGAAATATCATTTAAAGTTCCTTTGCACTATGATATGGTGGTGAAGATTCATATATTCTGAAAGATTTCGATGTAAAAATCGACAATCTCTTTATATATTACAGTGGTTTTCCTGGATGTTGTGTCCCGTTTGTGGATACAATCTAGTTTCAGTCTTTAAAAATCTTCATGGATTTAAATAATTTTACGTTCCTTTTTAGATCAGCCACGATATTTGTAGCTGATCCTCTTCAATATAAAGCATTATTTTCATGATCTTTGTGAAACTACCCAAAACTCTCTCAGCAGCTCTTATGTCTTTTGTGCAATAACGTGTCCAGAAACACATGAAGTACTCAATTCACAAGTCTGTTCAATGTATATGTAACTGACACCCGTTGAGACAATCACAAACTTATTTTGAATGGTCTTCCGATCTTCCGATACCGATTTTAATCGACTTATACTCCAGTTTACGCCCTAACGGAATAGTTCTGCACATCCTTCAATTAATATGTTTCCTAAATATACTTTGAATAAAGCGTTGTATCAACATTCAACTGCATTTTAACTTTTGTGCCAACTCGGCAAAGATTCTGTTATCTTATGCAATTCAACAGGTTATTCTTGAGTGTGTCCATTACCCGCATTACTTCATCACTAATGTTTTTAATCAATGGCATCGTTTATATTTCAAATTCGTTAATATTATTGAAGAGCACAGAGCATCCAGCACAAGCGTCTTTGTAAATCAACTAGATATATTGTGGATTAAGTGCAAGAGCGTTCAACCCTGAGCGCTCTTGAGTGTGTGAGGGGCTGTGTGGGTGTGAATGTGTGTGAGTGTGCGTGAGTCTGTGTGTAATTGAATGCATGTGAGTGTCTCTGCGCCTGGGTGGGTATGGGGGTATGTGGGCCTGGGTGTATGATTATGTGTGTGTGAGTGTGTGGGGGTCTGGGTAGATGCGAGTGCATGTGAGTTTGGGTGGGTCTGGGTGGAATTCAGTGTGCGTGAGTGTGTCTGGGCCTGGGTGTGAGTGATTGTGTGTGGGTCTGGATGTATGAGTGAGTGTGTGTGAATTTGTGGGGATCTGGGTGGATGTGTGTGCGTGTGAGTGTGACTGTAAGTTGTGTGTGTGTGAGCGGGAGCGGATGTGAGTGCGAATGAGTGTAATTTTTTTACAATGTACATGTGTGGCTAATTGCTTGTTGAAGTGAATATGTATAGGAAGTGTGGCAATAAAGGCCATAGTTTTACATCCGAAATGCTGCTACGCGTAGAATGCGGTGTTACAGAGTGAAAAAGAAAATTCCTGGTGCAGCTCTCCTTTGCAATTCTAAAGCAAGTTGCAAATAAAATCCAGGCTGAGATTGGATTTTCGGTAGTGATGTCGATTGATTTGTAACAGTAATATTACCTTTATTTTTGGGGGGTTGCGGGGGTTGGGGGACATCTGAAGAGTGTCTGACACTTATTAAAACCTTTGCCCACGCTTATGAGTATTCAAAACAAAATGATGGTTGTATTAACTTGGTGCTGATATCCGCTCAAACAAAGGATGTACCTCTTCACTCGAGAGATTGTATGTGTAATTAGTTTTAAATCAACACCTCTGTACGTGACTCATAACTACACCAATGATCTTTATTTGAGTTCATTTTGCTATGAAATCAAACATGACAATGCAATGATACTGAGGCGGATGCAAAAAAGGATAAGCGAAATGGTATTGAGAGACACTTATTGACACATATTCATGCTGTCCACCAGGACAAGGGCAGTATTTATAAAACTCGGTTTACCGCTCGATTTATCAACGGTTCTGGTCAGGGTCTTCAGTGGGAAGGTTTCATGTCCGACCACACAGGAGTAGGAGAGACCACTGTTCCACTCTCCAGCTGAGATGGACAACATGCTGTACATGGAATAGTTGTGATCTGCACTGTCTGCCATCACCTCAGTGTTCCTGAAGTTCTTAGCATCAATCACCTGGTCATTCACAGTCCACTGCACAAAGATCTCTTTGGGAGCGAAGTCCTTCACCAGGCAAGTGAGGGTGACAGTGTACTGAGCAGACAATTCCTCTGCCGAGGGGAGGAGGAGATACACCGACGGTTGTTTTGTGTACTCAACTGTGGGAAGTAAACAAGCGAATCAGTACACTGATGATGTGAATCTGAGAGAAGTTTGAAGCTCCAGGTCCTGCAGAACAATCTGAGAATAATGTGTGTATCTGTTCAGGCTGTGCTCAGTGGTTTGTAACTGCGGGTGTAACTGGGAACTCTAGCGTGGATTCTAATGTCCCGACAGCACTTTATTATTTGCACCAAGTGACCAGCAGTTTAGATGTGGCTACCTTAACTCAATAAGAAAATATGTAAATAGCCTCCAGATGTAATGACTAGATATTGCTTCGATATAATTCGTGTGAATTAATGTACTTATCAAGTTATATCTATCTATTGGTTTTTGGCCAGCATGCGAGGGAATAAATTTATCTATCGTCAAGCAGTAAAAAACAGAGAGCATATAATTGTATTCACAATTGCATCTGTCGTCTTCAACCTGAAATTACAATAAATAAATAAATAAATAAATAAGTAAATAAATAAATGATTTATTTCCTGAAACCTGGCTACTCACCTTTCCTCTTCAATGTCATTTCTTTGATTGGATTTGGCATATCGTCATGGCTGGCAACACAGAAGAATTCTTTCCCACTGTTCCAGTCTTGTGAAGAAATGATTAATTTACTGATCACTTCCTGAGGCTCAGTAGCAGACGGTTTCCCATTTCCAGACTGTAAATGTGTATTTCCTTGTGTCCAAGTCACGGTGACGTCAGGAGGTGCATTAACCACAACACATGTCAGCGTTACAGAGGATTCCATCAAAACCTGTTGCTGTGAGGGTGGCAGCAAAGAGACCTTGACACTTCCAATGGGAAGCTCACACTCTAGAAAAGCAAAAGAAAATGAAACACAAATAAAAACCAAGTTCCAGGATTTCCTATTCAATCAAGTTAAACAATTCCGGATGAGCTGAACACAGAATGATGTGTCTTAATATAAGTATCAGTTGGTGTTGGAATAATTTACTGGAGATTTGAATAAGGCTTCCTGAAACATTCAATGATAATCTGCTAATTGATTTTCAATTACGTCCGACTGACAAAACTGCGGATTAAACGCATGCATTGGATGAGCTGCAACTGTACACTTAATTGTACATATATTCGGATTAACCCAAATTGTGGCTTTGGGACGAGAAATTTTAGTGAAAGCAGATGTTGAAGAAGAGTGTAGAATATGGGAATTACAATTCACAGTCACGTGATCCTGTGACAGATGCGAGATCTACAATTGAGTAGCAGATTAGAAACATGGTGTTCCTGGCCATCTCCTGTTAACATGGTGAGGATTGGGGCGCGATTTCCTCATGTTGTACAGATAAATAAACTTTCGGTCAAAGTTCACATATTTATTGTTCGGGTTGAAATATCCCAAAAGGGTGAAAGTCAAACTGACGCAGCAGCTCCCACAAGTGGACATTTGAAAGGATACTGAGTGCCATGTTGTTGCCGTGTGTGTCAGATGGTGCCGTGCCCCCTACCTGAGGACTTGGTGATGTTCTTGACAATGATGGTCTGGGTGGGTTCATGGGACACCTGGCAGGTGTAAACCACGCCACTCCTCCACTCTCTGGCGGGGACAGTCAGGCGGCTGCTGGTGCTGAATGTCATATTGTCTTCTTTAATCGAGGAAGAGGTCACAATACCTGAGATGATGGGCTGCCAATCCTTCAGCCATTTAACACTCAGTTTGTCCGGATGGAAACCGGATATTAAGCAGACAGCAGTTACCGGTTTATGCATTGTGATATCTTCAGAGGAAGGCTGTGTGAGGATAACAACTGGGGGTGACGGTTTCGTTTGATTACCTGCAATACATTAAATAATAGTTTATACTTAGTTCGATTGGGGCATTTTTTGTTGCGTGAAATTGATATTAATTTTGAAACAGACATTGAACTCAGCCATGAAGTGACATCTTCTCTCTCATTGGCTTTTCTCTTTTAATCTTCCCAGTAAACAAACATTTTTTAAAAAAAAAACCTTGCAATCTCCGCAATCGTTTTGTCTCAACTGTTATGCTAAACTCCAAAGTTGGTGTGGAGTTAAAAACGCTGGTATTCTCGTTGCCCTGTTGGCTACAATTGAGCCTTCCTCGGTCTTCTCCGGGCCAACTGAACTGGGTCACGTCATTGCTATCCCGTTCGTATCTGAACTGTATTAGTTTTTCTGTTGCTACATGTGTGTGTGTGTGTGTGTGTGTGTGTGTGTGCGTGTGTGTGTGTGTGTGTGTGTATGCATGTATGTATATATCTAGGAATGTATTTATTGAGTCTTGAAACCGAGACCCCGTCTGCCTTCATTCGGACGTCGAAGATCCCACGGCCTATTTGAAAACAGAAGGCAGTTACCATCTCACTCACAATTACTTTGCTCTTTGTCCATTTTACTATTTCCATTTCCCTCACTCGCTTTCTCTCTCTCCCTTTTCCCGGTCAAAAATTCCCGAAATAAAATTGACCGTTCTGTCTACGACGGTTTGTGGGACATGTCCTGTATTTGGCATGTGCCAGAATTTTCTACGTCTCATGGGTCACGTTTCAGCAGCGAAATAGTCAAACAAATGCAGAGATTTATTCATTAAATAAATCTGTCCCAGAATCTGGTGTCAGTGACGCTGCGTTGACTGAGTAGTAGATCAAAGTCACCACGTGACCAGTTTAAGTTTAGACACAGCGATAATGTCTCTTTTCTTACAAAATTAATTATCAACTGTTCCAGATTAAAATATTTCCTGTTCTTACAACAGCAACTTTGTTTTAAGACTTATGTCTGCGTGCCATTTAGATACGCAGCTGAAATTAAAACTTTTTTCTATTTTCAAATGGTCTATTTAATTTGCCCAAAAATATGTATTTCACGGTTAATCAGATAGCTGCATAATCTTAATTTTTTATGCAATCGTCTGAAAATTTAAAGCATGAGTCTTTCTGGCTCTGACATTTATTAAAACAAATTGCTCCGTTCAGACTGATTATAGAATCGCCACAATCAGATGCGAAGCAGACAGCCGCTGTGTGGTGTTAAAATTGTACATTAATTATTATATAATAATAATAATATTTCGTGCATTTGATATAGTGCCTTAGCGCGTCTTCGGGACATCTCAAAGCGCTTCACAGAATATATTGTCAAGTGAGGTTACTATATTTTCCGTGCCACAGATATTTGTTTGTCTGTTTCACAGGAGAGCCCACAGAAAGGGCCGATTCAGTGTTTTACATGAGGAATGAAGGACTGCAATCTGTGTTGTGCCCCACAAAAGCCTCTCACAGGGAAAACTGTCTGATTTGTGATTGGGTTCAGCGGAACCTGCAGGAGCCACACAGCGCTAAAAGGAGTCACAGAAATATTCAACATTCATATTTCAGAATATAATCTTAGAGACGTCTCGAAATGCTCCGCAGAATATATTGTACAGGAAATTCACTGTATATTTGTGGGTGAAAAGGGCTTCCGATTGCAGACGGCAGTGCCCACAACCAGTAATGGATTGAGTGACCAATGTATTATTATTATTGTTATTATTTTGAAGTGATTAATAACCACAGAAAAGCAGTCGGTTAATAGCTCTAAACACTGAGCTACAGGACACCCAGTAAGGATAACTCTCTACTTTGCTTCACAGCCTGTATTATTCTGAATTGTGTTAGATTTTTTGGCTGACAGTTAAATGTACTGCGGTCATGTTGTATTCATGTTTCACAGGCTGACAGACAGAGGCAGGTGCTATAAACACTGAACAACAAGCGGCCCTGGTATCCGTGGCTCTGTTTCCTACACTCGCGGCCTCCGTCTTGTCAGCTATAAATACATTGAATATAATAATGATAAAACTAGAGACATTGTTCGCTTCTGAAATAAGAATCCTCATCCTCACCTACAAGGCCATTCACTGCCTTGCTCCCTCCTAACTCTCCAACCTACTATCCCCCTACCTACCTGCCCGTACCCTCCGTTCCTCCGGCTCCGGTCTGCTCCACGTCTCCCGCCCCAACCGCCCTACCATCGGTGGTCGGGCATTCAGCCTCTCAGCCCCTAGGCTCTGGAACTCTATCCCCCAGTGCCTTCACCTTGCCTCATCCCTTTCCTCCTTGAAGGCCGGTCTCAAGACCTTTCTTTTTGATCGTGCATTCAGCTCCCCTCTCGACTCTCTTCCCCCTCCTCACTCCCTCCCTTCCCTCCCCTCACCCTGACCATTTTCCCCCTGCTCGGGACATGACCCAACTGTGCAGCGCCTTGGGACGGCCTCCTGACGTGAAAGGCGCTTTATAAATGGAATGTTGTTGTTGTTGAATCCTCAGCTAATAATAAACACTGGGAGATCATTATGCCTTTATCTTAAGATTTCATGGAAGCGTATAAAATTCTTAAATTTCCTTTAAATTTTGAATCCGTTTCTTCTTAAGAACTCGGGAAAACCGGTTTCAGAAATCACACTGAATATAACAATTATTCAGCAGTGGATTTCTCGACCTCTGGTAAGATCATTACAAAACAAACCTTCACCTTGCTCTTTCCTACCCGTGGGACCGTGTGTTAAACACGAACCCAGCTCCCAGCCGCTCTACACACACTCAAACATCCCGCTTCAGCCATTTGCTGTTGCACTGCTCAAAGCTGTTTAATCGGGTCTCACACATTATCCTAGACTCGATCCTTTCATCTCCAGCACAAACTCTTTCCATCCATTATTCCAGAAGTGAATTAACATTATTTTCTCTCCGGCTGACTCTCCCAGTAACTGCACAATCAGCTCACACACCGTTCTTCCACATCAAGCGTGAAGCATTGTACATTTTGCAATGTATCTCACAGTCACAATGCCCTGCAGCACAAAAACTTACACAGAATAACTAAATAATATGTTACAGTAAAATAAGTAACTGCGTCGTTTCACCCCCTTCACTGCAGTGTCGCTGTGTGCTGAACATCCCATGAACTATAGGATCTCTTAAAATACAGCAAATGTATTCAAATTTTATCAAATATTTAATCGACAAATCAATGTTTTTCTGCTACTCGTTATCGTAAAACAGGAAGCTGATGATAGTAGATCAACACCGACCTCTTGTGTCTCTAATACGGCGTGAAATCGAAGTGATGTTCACTGAATCGCTGTTAATACTGAAATGAAGCCTGAGCTCAAACTGTTGCTCACTAATCGTTAGGGAAAATATACTGTGAGCAAATCATTAATGTTAACACTGACAGAAATAAAACCTTTCAGTCCGTGGTGGTTGAGCTGCTATAGTTTCACTCATATCGTAGCAATACAAATCCGATTTACTGTCAGACTCAACCCCTTTCCCAGAACAACCACTTTAAATCGTAGCCACGTTCATGACATTAAAAAAACGGAATGAAATACTTGATGGAATCTATCTGATAACCTTCTCTTCATTCAGCCCACAACTTTCAGACCCTTATTTCCAATGTTCAGCATAGTTTCAAACACTTTATAAAATTCCCTTTAACGTTATAGCCGAAACTCAGCAGCCGACAGTCACCGAAACTAGACATTGCAGAACGTCCATCAGTATAACCTTTCTGGATGGGGATATTCACAAAACATCAAAAAGATCACAAAGAATTAATCAATTATTTGGTGAATAATCCATAAACAAACGGTGGTTGCAGGAAGCAATAAAAGCTAAACAAATTTAGCATGGATTAAACTGTGGGATACCCAGCAACGCGGAGTTCATTACATTAAATAGCTGTTAAAGTGAACATATCAAATATATAAAGAGACAAGTTCAGTGTAGCGAGTGAGTTTGTATCTGTTTCTTACCGTGAGTCACTTCTATGCTCGCAGTAGTCTGGTTTGTCACTGTGCTACAGTCAGTGCCTGCCCACTGCAATAACCTGCTGTGAGGGCAGGACACACAAATACAATATTTCTGTAAATATGGACTTGCCCAATCCACGATATATTTCTGCAACTTTTTGTAAACGATTTCACAAGGTCTGTGTTTACCTGTTCAATGCTTGTATCTTTGCCAGCTTACAGTGTTCCTGTCAAACACATTTCCTTGTCAGGAGCAGATCGACGGACAAATGCAATGTTTCATGTCTATTGAAATCAGGTAAAATCCTCAGCAGTCAACAGCTTTTAAAAGTACCTAATCCCCGTATCTTCAGTGGAACTCACACAAGGGAGAAGTCAGAGAGATTAGGTGGTTTGGTGTTGAAGGGTTTTTGCATTGCCAGTTAACGCCGTGGTTCCCTTATCACAGTGCTACAGTCAGTGGCGGCCCACTGCAAAAACCTGCTGTGCGGGCAGGGCACACAAATACAATATTACTATAAATGTTGGTTTCCTCAAACCAAACACAGTGCACAATATATATCTGTAATTTTCTAAAACAATTGCTTGGCTCTTTGTTTACTTTATAAATGTGTGTACGTTTGCCATTTTGCAGTGTTCCTGTTGAACACTTTTTCTTGTCATCAGCAGATTGAAGAGAAAATGTGATGCTTTAATCCTATTAAAATCTGGCAGCCTCCTCAGCGGTCGACACTGTTTTACACATACCATTTCCCCGCATATTCAGAGGAAACCACATAAGCGAGTTGTGTGAGATATCAGGTGGTTTGGTGTTGAAGGGTTTTTGTATTGACAGTTAACTCTGTGGTTGCTGTTACACAGTGATACACAATATGACAAAAACTCCTGCACAGGATGTACTAATAAATATTCATCTATAATATCAGAGAAACACTGAACCTCATTTCACATTCTCCAGTGAGGCCTCCTATAACTTTTCCGTCAAAATAAATTCTTATATTTATCACTGGCCTTGGATTTATGTGAAAGCAGCTGATCAAATCTCAAACTTGTTTATCAACACTCTGCAATCAAATTAATCTCAATTTATCTGCTATGCACCAATTTGTTTCTGAGAATAATCCAGTTTGAGTAACACTTATTTTGGTGCTTTGGATTTTGTAGTGATGTAAGTGATTAGCAGTCTCTGTGGCTGTTTTTTTTGTCTGAGGATGCAGCTGTATGCAGCATCGTGGCTCGTTGTTTGCACAGTGACACAGTCCCATACAAATACTGACCACCGATATCTGCTCAACACAGGCTGCCAAAAGTTACTGAAAGTGCTTATTCCTCTCTGACATGATATGGAGTCTGTCTAATAGTTTCTTCATTTCCACAGAAACAGAAAACTGTTACTTCCAACAGCGTATACGGAGATGATGTATGTGAATCGTCGCATTGTGAGCCTCCAATCGGAGTCCTACCCGCCTCAACAGCAAAGTGTCACTGACCATCTGAATTCGCAGAATATCACAGCACAAAAAATCTCATTCTCCCAATCAAACTACGTTTCACTATGTAGCTTTAGTGTGATATTAAATCCGTCTTAAGCTTCTCCTTTAATCTCCGTTAAAGACACTGCATTGACATCACGGCTGTGCCAGTTTATGTAGGGAGGTTCTACCT